TTCTGGCAAAAAAAAATCTTTAATTAATGCCTTCTCTACGATATGAATTCGATAAATATTTGAACTCTGCAAACAAAAACCAGTACAAACTGAATTTTCTATGTCTTTGATGGAATATATAAAGCAGAGTCATCTGGAATTTGGAAAGATCGACTTCAGTTCGATGAGATTTATAAGAGAGGTGTATGTATAGGTGATTCCAATTATATGTTTTATTTGTTTTCGTCCTTCATTCTAATTAGAATTTTTAAGGGATTTTGATATAAATATTCCAGCGTTTTGGTCATCAATTCTAATTCTCCATATGACTGATGAATCCAAGTCTATGATGGTATTCTATTATAATATCTAACTCTAACTATCAAATTGCATTTGATAAAGAAAAAGGAAAAAAAATCAAACGTGTTATATCAAAGTTCTTATAGTAGTTTGTTACTTGATACTTGGTCAATTTGCTACTTGATGGTGTCATTTTTACTGTCCATATGTCGATTCCTAAAAGTTTATAAGGCCATGCATATCCTTAGTTTTTTAGACCAAGTCAAATGTAGAAAAATGCATTTACCTTTTTAATAAACTCGCAACATATATATATATATATTGATGCCACATTTTGATATCAATTTAATAATGAAAATTAGTATGAGTGTTCATAACAATACAAAAAATAAAATCTCAATAAAAAGTATGTCAGAGTGTGATTTTCACGTTCTGGCAGTTTATGATTCGTATTAACATTACTCATTTTCAGTAATTGTATATATATATATATATATATTAGCCTGCATGTTGTAATTCTTATTCAATTAAGACTTAGGATATATAAGATATATAATTCATTACAAAATGAACTTATTTTATATTCTAATACATATAAAATTAAGCCATTTAAACAGAGTCAACAAATTTTGTTTCTTAATTAATTTGTAAAGAATAGTTTATCTAAACCTATCACAAGAACCATTCATGTTGAATTATACCAAGGTTCATTCCTTCTTGATCTTTGTAATGATTTACAATAATAACTCCAATTGGGTTTTATATACATATTTTTAAAATGAAATTTGATCTCACTTTAGTCATATTTTTAGTATCCTTACTTGATTTAAATGTATATTTGAGAAATTAATTAGTGAATATTTTAATAAAAATGTATAGAGTGAAATGATGTGTATTGTATTTAATTTTCATTTTTTTTGAGAAAAAATTGCGTGCAGGTCAAAAATTAAAAAAAAAAAACCATTTTTGTAACAGCAATAGACTTTTCCAAGTGATTACTGATGCTTTTTCAAGTCATATGAAAAAGAAATACAAGTCATTGCCCTTGTAGTTGGGTGTGCATTACATTCTATTTTTAAAATACTCTTCGCATCGCCCTTGTAGTTGTGTTTCTACTTGTTCTGTCTTTCTCCTTCCCTTCCTTCTTCTCTCAACCCCCCCTTTTGCAATTCTCATGACTCCTCTGCCCTCCTCCAATTCAAACACTCTTTCTCTCTTAATCATTCTGCTTCAATTGAGTGTGATGAATATTTTGATGACTCATCTTATCCCTTTAAGAGAGTACAGTTAATCCTAGTTCTGAACACAACAATAATGGTAAGGAAGTGGAGAGAAGCCAAAATTACTAATATATGTGCATGGCCAATGCGTCAAGCTTCCTTAGTACAAAGATGCTGCAATTTTTTAGTGAATAGAAACATATTTGACATTCTTTTTATCATCACCATTACAAAATCATATATCAAGTTTCCGTGCCTTGGATAGTATTTCCGCATATGTCAATAAATAATTAGCACTGGATGGATATTCGGTGTGCCCTCAATTTCAATAGGATTTTTTAAATATAAATCTTGTGTTCTTCATCTTTGTTTTCTTTTTGCATGAAATGGACACTTCAAAGGCCCCTTCAATCTTGAATGTGACAGGTCCCATTAATAATCACAATGGGATTTGGCCTTTCATTTATTTTTCCAACTTACCCAAGAAAAAGGAGCAAAAGGGAATGAGAAAAAAGGGCCAAATTCGCACTAGTTGGTTGTTAATGCAAAGACATCTTCTATTAAAAAGCGTCAATTATAGTGGAAGAGGTTATGACTATTTAAATACAAAGTCTCAAGTTCTAGTTCGTAGAAAATACCTACCACCAATTTGGCCAAAAAAATATGCAAAGATGCCTTCAGCAGAAACTTGAATATCAAAGGGTGGAGTCCATATGAAATCTATGTGTTCTAAACTTAAGATATATGAGCTTTCTCATATTCCAAAACTGGTTCACACCTAAAAATGTGTTATTAAAATTCACATAATATCAATCAATCATAATCAATCTTAATATCAATATAAAATGTAAAAAGTTCATAGGAGTAACCTCAAATTAAACTTCCTTTATGCTATAATGGTGGATAATGGATTGATTAAGAGTGACAGTATAGTCTTTTATTTAGTCCAGACATGGAAGAAAACTCAAGGGCCAGAGAATCGATCAAAAAGCAGCTGAACGAGTCTCACATCGATTAATTACCAGGGATAACTGGTTGGACTAAGTTGTTGGGAATGCGTGTGAAATGTGTTGTTAAAACACAAATGTTTTTTTTTTAATCTATAATTTTTCCCTGAATAAAACTTTTTCTTGAATGTGTTTGACATTACTTTTAAGATTAACTAGCAATACACCCATGCAACGTACATGATGTTATTATTTTTATACAAATTAATATTAAATTACCATTAATATATTTATAATTATTAAATAGTAAATTTTGCACAAATATATTATATAGTTGGGATGTTAAAACTTGTCCTTTACTATGATCAAATCTATTTATAATCTAATTTATTTATAATACAACATATAAACAAATTAAACTTTGTCTCTTATGGTTACTTTTTCCTTTTAAATTAAAGGTTAATGTTAATTATAGTATCTGCTTGATACAATGTAGATAGTAGGAGTCTCCATGATATGAGACTGGGATAACATTATCCCATGTCTGTGAAAATAGATAAGGAATGAATTTTCATTTTGTGTCCTATCCCATTTAGAATTGGGATGGGGTCGGCAAAGAAATCCCTTAAAAGATAATCTTGATCAATTTTGAAGACACAGTAAAAACACTTTAGGCATAGTCAATTTATTTAATTTATAGGAAAATGATACTTAAATATTATTCTAAATTTCGCTATACAAAACAAAACAAAATAACTCGCAACTCAATATATAAAATATTTGACAAATTAAAATTTTAAAACAATCAAAACTATAAATATGATTTGTAATTATCAGAATATTCTTAATAATCAGGAGAAAAAGTAGTGATAATTTCCACTACTACTATGTATGTATGTATGTATGAATGTATGCATGTATGTATGTAATAACATATAGAAGCTTTTTCTTACACTAATACCCGTTAGAAAGTTATTCACATTTAAGGACCTTGGGATTGCATACTAATTTCAGTAATTGGTGGAACTTTAGGGCATTTACAATTGTGTGGACTTTGGAGTAATTTTTCCTCAGTATTTTCCATATGTCCACTTCTGATCTTGCACAAAAATGTTAAAATGTCAATTCCTGAAAGTTTACATGACCACATCTTTCTTAATCATGTATGCTTAGCTTTTAGACCAAGTCAAGTGCAGAAATTTAAAAAAACATAACAAAAGAATATCTATATGAAATTTATATCAGCTAAAGATTAACTGTTGTCAAAACTCGAATGAAAAATAAGTTTAAATGAACTGTTGTTAATTTAAAATAAGTTGTTAAAATTAGAATAGATATTTGTTGATAAAAGATTAATTCGAATTGACAAGTACCTATTTGAACTTTAACAACAACTACTTTTTGACTGATATAAATTTTATAAAGAGGTCCTTCATTGCTATTTTCCCAATTAAAAATGCATTTACTTTTTTAACCCACAATATATATATATATATATATTGATATCATTTTAACAATGAAAATTAATATGAGCGTTTATAGCAATACAAAAAAAAATCCAGTAAAAAGTATGTTAGAGTGTCCTTTTCGCTTTCATGCAATTTATGATTCGTATTAACATTACTCATTTTCCATGACTGAATATATATTAGCCATGTTGTAATTTCCATTCAATTAAGAATTAGGAAATATAAGATAATTCATTATAAAATGATCTTATTTTATAATTTAAGCAGAGTCAACAAATTTTGTTTCTTATTTTTGTAACGAATAATTCATCTAAACCTATCACAAGAACCATTCATGTTGAATTAAACAAAGGGTCATTCCCTCTTGATCTTTGTAATGATTTACAATAATAACTTCAATTAGGTTTATATAAATATGTATTTTTAAAATACTCTTGGTATATCTCAAGATTTACTGGGAATGAAATTGTCTCAACAAAAAGTATGTTAAAACCGTGCTTCTCAGTTATTAACTAAAAAGGTATGTTATCAATTAAGGGGGAAAAATCAAAGATAGTTCAATAGCAAGCCATCTTATTTGATGCATACATGCATGCATACATACATACATACATACATACATACATACATACATACATACATACATATAATTAAGCCGGTCATTCGTGACAGCGACCAATATTTTTGCTTCTCTGTTTTCTTAAAAAGAACAATCATTTATTTATTTAATTTTGGTTTTGGGCTTTCTTTTTTAGCCAAAATATAACCGTGAGTTTGCAGTGTGCATCATGCCATCTGCTGTGTAGGTACCATTATAAATATAGTCTCTTTTGTTAAGAGTTTGAATCAATCCTTCACTCATTCACAGGCTTCCAACTTTTGTGATGGCATCACTTGCAATAATGCTCTGTTTCTACTTGTTCTTTCTTTCTCCTTCCCTTTCTTCTTCTCTCAACCCCCCCTTTTGCAATTCTCATGACTCCTCTGCCCTCCTCCAATTCAAACACTCTTTCTCTCTTAATCATTCTGCTTCAATTGAGTGTGATGAATATTTAGATTTCTCATCTTATCCCTATATCTTTCAGTTTAAGAATTCATCTTACCCAAGGACATCTTCATGGGGGAATGATTCAAATTGCTGCTTGTGGGATGGGGTCATGTGTGACTCCATGTCAAGCCATGTGATTGGCATTGATCTAAGTTGTAGCTGGCTTCAGGGTCAATTCCATCCTAACAGCACCTTTTCAAACTTTCTCATCTCCAAACACTCAATTTGGCTTACAATGATTTTAGTGGGTCTTTGATATCATCTCAGTTTGGTAATCTTCCTTCTCTCACATATCTAAACTTAAGCCACTGTTGTTTTGCTGGTGAAATTCCTCCCAGAATTGCAGGATTGTCTAAGTTGGCCACTTTTGATTTGTCTACGAATTGGTTTTACTCTTTTGAGAGGGGGAATTATTTGAAACTTGAACCATCCACATGGGAGAAGCTCATTCTAAACATGACAAATATGAGGGAACTTATTTTAGATTATGTAAACATGTTTTCCATTTCAAAAAGCTCTTTATCTTTGCTCATGAATTTGTCATCTTCTCTAGTCTCCCTTAGTCTTCGAGATACTTCTTTACAAGGGAATATCACAAATAACATTCTTTGCTTACAGAATCTTCAGCAACTAGATTTGTCAAGAAATCAAAATCTCAACGGTCAACTCCCAAAGTCCGAATGCAATTCTTCTCTAAGGCATCTAGATCTCTGCTTCACAAATTTCTCAGGAGAAGTGCCTAATTCCTTAGGCTACTTGAAGCATCTTAATCATTTGAATCTTGGATTCTGCTAACATGAAGGGCTTCTTCCTCTAGGTATCAAAATCTTACCTAATTAAATTATTTGAACCTTGCCTCAAATAAATTTAGTGGGGAGATCACTTTTGTTTTAAACCTTCCACTTCTCACCCCTTGTACCTTTCCTATAACGATTTTAGTGGTCAAATCCCATCATCACTTTTAAACTTGGAACATCTAACTCACTTATTTCTCCCTAGTAACCACTTCAGCGGTGAAATACCAAATGCATTTAGAAATCTTAGCAAATTACAATATTTATCACTTTTCGAAAACAAAATTCAAGGTAAGATTCCCAAATGGTTCAACAATTTGGGAAATGGTTCTTTGCAATATTTGGATCTTTTTAATAATTTTCTATCTTCAAATGAGATCCCCTCAATGAGCAACGTTGAGTTTCTTGATATCAGCTTCAACATGTTGTGAGGAAATCTTCCCATTGCATTCCCAAGTGTTACTTACCTTTTTATCAATAATAATGAATTCGATGGAGAGATTTCCTCTTCATTTTACAATTTAAGCTCACTTTTTTATCTCAACTAGTCTTATATTAACTTGTCAGGCCATATTCCAAATTGCCTTACAACCCTCCCATATCTTTCAAGTTTAAATTTGCAAATGAATAATCTTGTTGGAACTATACCGAATAATTTTTCTCAGAGCAATTCACTACTTTCTTTGCATTTGAACAACAACCAACTCGGGGGACCATTGCCTCCCAACATGGTCCATTGCAATAAGCTACAAATTTTAGATGTTGGAGGGAACAAGATTGAGGATAAATTTCCCAATTGGCTTGGAGGCTTATCAGAGTTGAAGGTACTCATTTTAAGAGACAATATGTTTTATGGTGCCATTTCTAATTCAGATGCCAAGCATCCCTTTTCCAATTTAACTATCTTTGACATTTCAAACAATCATTTTTGTAGACCATTGCCAACTGTGTACATAAAAGAATTTAGAGAAATGATGAAGATGGCTAATGTTGAAGCTCAATTAAACTACATGTCAATTAATTTCTCATATGAATCCGTGAAGGTTACATGGAAAGGTAATGTCATGAAGTTAGAAAGGATCTTGACAACATTGACAACCATTGATGTATCAACTAACATGTTTGATGGGGAGATTCCAAAAGTTATTGGAGAACTATATTTGTTAAAACAGCTAAATCTCTCTCACAATAGACTCACAGGTTCTATTCCTAAATCAATAGGAAATTTGATAGACCTAGAATCATTAGATCTCTCATCAAACATGTTGAGGGGTGAAATCCCTTTATCCTTAACAAATCTCAGCTTCCTTACTGTTTTGAATCTTTCACAAAACTAGCTTATCGGAGCTATTCCAAAGGGAAAACAATTTGATACATTTCAAAATGATTCATATGAGGAAAATCTAGGATTGTGTGGGTTTCCATTATCAAAATCATGTAATCCAGATGAAGAAAAATTGCCACGGTCTTGTTCATCAAGTGATAGTGAATTTGGATTTGGCTAGAAACTAGTAGCCTTGGGATATGGATGTGGAATAGTGTTTGGAATGATCATGGAACATATTGTCTTTTCAACCGATAAACCTCAATGGCTAGTCAAAATTTTCAAGGGTAAACTAATGAAACAAGCAAGAAGGACAAGGAATAGAATTCATGCAAATTGAAGTATGACTTAGCTGGAGAATAATGCGGCTTCATGTGATTTTGTGGCATTTTTCATGTTGTTTGTGTGGGTTTTGTTGTTTCATGTCTGTTAAATAATCTCTCAATATTATAATGTATTGTTATTCTATTTGTTCAAGTTTCAAGTTATTTATCTTCATTTATGTACCACAATGTTCCTACATGTAAGCAGAATATTCTAACATATCAACTTCTATTTTAGCCTGATAGCCACTTTTAAGATTTTAAACTTATTTTGAAAAACAAAAACATTCAAATAATTGAATTATGTTTTTAATTTTCCAAAGAAGAAGAAACATGACATGGTATGAAGTTTGATGAATCTTACAAACAGATCTCATGCAAATTAAACTCTTCATCCTTTGCTTCATAAGAGAAGAAACTGAGTCAGTAGATTTAAATCTTGAAAACCCTAATGCTATGTTCGGATAGACATGAATTAGGATAATTAAAAACATATGAATTCTCCAAGTTCTCCCTTAATTTTTTTATAGTTTAAAATCTTTTCTAAACCCCTATTATTTCAAAACCTAACTCAAGTTTTTTTACACTTTGACCCAAATGCATGAAGGCTTAATCAATTTGCCAACGGTAATTGGACAAATTGCCAAATTTCACAAAACAAGCTGCCATCATTAACCGGGATGGGACCAGAGTGACGACAACGACAAGGACCGGACGGCCAACTTCCATTTGAACTAGACCAGTGGTGATAATGGGGATTGGATGGCTGGTTTCTACTGGGACCGGACTGACGGCGATGACGAGGATGAAGAGTCCAACTTCCATCGAGCGAGGACTGGATGGCCACCTTTCGTCGCCATCACCTTCAGTATGGTCATCGTCACCTTATCTATCAGTTCGATTCGGTATTGGTGCAAGTCGGTCGTCTGGAGCCTATCGTCGTCGTTGGTTTGGTGTTAGTAGAAGCCGGCCGTTCGGTCCCCATCATCACTGTTGGTTTGATCCCTATAAAAGTCGGTCGTTTGGTTCCCATCATAGCCATTGGTTCGGTCCCCATTGTTGCTATCGATCTGGTTTCGGTGGAAGTCGACCATCCTATCCCCATCATCGTGATGGTCCAATCCCTGTGGAAGTCAGATGTCCCATCCCTATTGTCGTGATGGTCAAGTCCTAGTAGAAGTTAGATGTCCTGTTCCGGTCGTCATCAATGCCACAGTGCCAGTCAACTTTGTTTGTTTGATCCCGTTGGAAGTTGGCTATTTGAATCGTCGAGTTTGACCAATCTTTTAATTTTTTTTTAAAATTTAAATATAGAATTTAAAATCTAAAATTTTACTTTAAATTCAAACAAAGGATTTTAATATTGTAATTTAAAATTTTTTATATCATCCAAATAAAGAATTTAAAATCTATGAATTTTAAGTGTGAGATTTTAAATATGAAATTTTAAATTCAAATTTCTAACTTAAATCCAACCGTCTAAACACAACCTAAATGAATTCTATCTTGACGAAAGATCACGTGCTCAATGTCTATTACAATTTTCAGTACATTTTGATCAACATTCATATAATTTCGTCCACATTCTTTGAATTCTTAGTAATTGTCGTAATCTAGTTCGAATCCATAGAATTCGAATTTTTTGAAGCTTAAAGTTTCATGAATGATTCTTAGAACTGTTATTCTCATCGTTATCATCACCATTACAATGTCATATGTCAAGTTTACATGCCTGGAATAATATTTTTGAATATAGCTCTTAGGTTTTTTCCTTTTATTTTTAGGATTCATTTATGAAAAGTTAATATCTTCTTGTCTTCTTATCAAAGGGATAATATGTTTGTCTATGACTGCCAATGCCAACAAATAACAAGCACGATATTGGGTGGGTCCTCAACTTCAATAGTATTTTTTTTAAAATATAGATCTTTGTGTGTCCCCTTCTTCTTCTTGCTTTTTTTTTTTTTTATCAAGCTATGGATACTACATAGACCCATTCAATCCTGAACGTGACAAGGCCCATCAATAACTTACCCAAGAAGAAGGAGCAAAGGAATAAGAAAAATGGCAAAATTCACATTAGTTGGTTATTAATATATAGATATTATCTTCAACATAAATATCAATAAGGTTGAGTTTAGTGGAAAGGAACTAGTTTCTCATAATATGATAAATCAAATTTTGAAACCTTACTAGGAGATGTGTCCATATTTAATACATTGCTTCGAATATGATTGACTTTAATAAATGAATACTTGTAAGTAATAAAAAAAATTAAGATAAACTACAATATCAAAAAGGAAAGTACATTTTGTATTCAAGACACAAGATGCGTGAGTTTTTCCATATTCTAAACCGGTCTCACTTAAATGGGCTAAATTCACACTAAAGATGGATGCGTTTGTTTGTTATCGTCTTCTAGTGGAGTTGCCATTGTGTTGATTTTCCTTGTTTCTTTTTTTTTTTCCGGTCCAAAAAAATTGTAAATAGCTCAAGATTAAGTGAGATTATTTTACGCACAAAAAATTAGTTTTAAATATTTTTTGATTAGTAATCACATATTATGTTCTGTTTCTAAAATAATGGATTAATTATGAGTAAACGGGTAGTCTACACAAATTTAGATTTTCAAAAAAATTCCTTGTTAAGCTTTGGAAATTATAAAAATTATTTACAAAAATTTAGAATAATTTTTTTAATTTAATTTTATATGTATGTACATACGTAAACTTATTTGACAATTCAATTTTCACGTTGTCATCTGTTTTTATATGAAATGAATTGGGATCTTAGAAACCTTGGCTTAGGGTTGGAGAAGTCTTTATATATTACAAGGACTCAACTTTCTACCCGTACATGATTTTTACTTCATCCAAGTTTATGTGTTCAATAACTAATTAATAGAATTGTTTTGAAAATATTCACACAAAAAAAAAAAGAATTGTTTTGAGAATTAACTGAACTCAACTAAATTGGATTGGTTGATTCTACTAGTTGAATTAAAAATCAATCTAGTATTTGACCCAACATGAAAGAACATTAAAGGGCCAGCGAATCAATCAAGATCGAAGCATTTAAATAGATCTCAAACTAGTTACAAACAATGGTTGGACTAGTCATGCACATATTTTTAACTTTTTACTTTTTTCCCCCAAAATTTTAAGCATTGTTCTGAAGTAACATTTTAAACTTGTCTATGCAAAATAAGCATAGAAAAGGGAAGAAATATGTGTGTGGATGTGTGTGTTGCATGCCAATATATGTATATAAATTATTCAAGAGCCAAGCCCCACATATTATGATAATGTGCTAGCATGGCATAATGTGCTCACTTTCAATTTTAGTAATCATCAC